CCTGAGCTTCTTAACCCTTTACAGGGAAAAGGATTTTGTAGTCTCTGACCAGGAGGGATTTTATAGTATTGTACACAGGACAGCTGTTGCCCTTCCCTTTATAGTTATGACAGACCCTGAGAAAAAGCTAAGAGCACCATTTTGGGCACACAGTCTTGGCTGGAAAGGCAGGCTCTGTACACAGAACAGAGTTGCTGTCTGCTGCTGTTTGATTCTGACTGTGTTCAGGGAAACAGGACTTTGGATGTTCCTTGTAAATTAGATCACATCACAGGAAATACCAGACTCCATTGTCAATTTCTGCTCCCAACCGGAACACGCGTAGGGTCCCAAACATTGACTAGACACTTGGGGAGACAATATAACAAAATTTCAAACATCGATGGGGTATTTCTAGCCACAAAAGGATTTCAGGACTGAGCCACTCGAAGAATTTCTCTATCACTAGAAAGAAATACTCTGATCTAAAGCACCTGGGGATTCCACACAGGCACATTGCCCAGTATGGCCAAATTGGCCCTTTAAAGGGTGGTGTCTCCTTTAACTCAGCTTCTGCAGAGTTTCGTTGATCCAGGGGATGAATTTGGAGATTCTCGTGTATACGCTGGGGGGGCGCCCATCTGGATCTCCATTGGAGATGATGCCCTGGACCATCCCGTCGCACACCAGGGGCCCGCCGGAATCGCCCTGCCAATAAGGAGAATAATGTCAGTGACTGACATAACTCAGCCCGGCCTGTTCTCTGGAGATCTCAGATTTCATGTAGGACAGGTGTTCTCTGCAGCTGAAGGATGAGCCCCTCCTGCCAAACAGAACCAGCCTGGAAATGGGTCGGCAGAGAGAGAAATCTAGAGCTGCACAGAATGTAGAAAAAGCAGTTTCTACAAAATTGAAATTTTCCACAGAAAACAATCAATTTTCAATTTTTGCTTTAGGAAAATTGAAAGGAAATACTTCATTTTGGGTCAGTTCCACCTGAATCAGAATATTTTACTTTTTTAAAATGTCCTGAAACATTTAATTTGGAATCAGTTCAAAAGATGTTAAACTGCTTTTCTCCTAACCATGCATTGGTTTATGGGAGTTGTCCTTCAGGTCTTCATTCTCTCCTAAGGACTTGGCTCCCTGGAGCAGTACATCTCCCATAATGCAACTCGGATTTGCTTCTGACTGAGCTGTTTGGGGCATCATGGGAATCACATGTCAAAGTGCATTGTGGGAGATGTAGTGCAGGCAGGGGCTACATAAGGGAAAATAGAGGCCTGATAAGGAACTGCAGCCCCTTCAGCCTCATCTTCTCTGCCTAAACATGCCCAATTCTTTTAGTCTTTCCTCCTACATAAGGTTTTCTAAATCTCTGATCATATTTTTTTGTTCTTGTTTCTCTCCAAAGGACTATCTCCAGTTTGTTCACATGGAAGGAAACATTTAAATCTGTTCACATCTCACCATGTTTCATTTTGATTGAAAATGTTTCAATGAAACATTTTGAAATTTCTGAGTCAAACCTGCTTTTGCAATTTCCATTCTGCCAAAAATGTTGACATCTCAACTTTTCTTAGAAAACTAAGATTGGAATGTTGCCATTTCCTGTTAGACGGGAATGCTGATTCTCCCTCAGCTCCAATGCCAACCTGGTCCTATGGACATCATCAGCAAAGCTCCCATCCACATGTATGGGGTCAGGATTTCACCCAGGGTCCTATCTGTTGGATAGCCTCAGGGTTGAGTTAACCAGTAGATCCTCCAATGAAGGTGAAGAGTAGAGATGGTCAGAACATGTGGTAGGGAAGGGGGAGCGGGTTTCCCTTTTTCCATCAACACTTTTCCTGGAACATTTTGTTAAAACTCAAGGCCTAACTATGTGTAATCATAGGAGTTGTATTTCAGGTGCCTCATGCTCTTATGAGAACACAGGACTGGAAGGGCCCTACTGGGTCATAAAGTCCAATTTCTGCTATTACAGGCAGCCCTGTCATATCATCCCATCCATAAACTTATCAAGCTCTGTCTTTATCTTTGTTAGGTTGTTCTCCCCCCCCCCCATGCTCCTGTTGGATGTTGTTCCAGAACCTCCTCCCTCTGATGGTTAGAAACGTCCTCGTCTCCAGCCTCATTGATCCCTGCCACTTTTATCCCCATTTGATTAGTCCTTTAGCTTCAACAGCTCGTCTCCCTCCCTGATGTTCCCCCCTCCTGATGTATTTATAGAGCAATCAGACCCCTCTCAGCCTGTGTTCTATGCTAAGCTAGCCCAGGTATTTTATTCCTTTCTCATCAGAGCGGCTTTCCATTCCCCTGATCGTCCCCATCACCCCTTCGCAACACCTGCTCCAGCTGAGATTCCTCTTTCTGGGACAGGGCTGCCCAGAAGTCTGCACCGGATTCCAGCTGAGTAATGCCCAGAACCTTCTCTGCTGGCATTAAACCCCCCCTCTCTACCCCGGGAACACCCGGGGTGCTTTATCCCGGGCCCCCCTGGGCCTTTCTTTTGGCCCAACCCCCGGGGGGGCCCCG